AAAGAGAGACACTATTTCTAATTTCTATCTCCCCTAAGAGCCTTTCATCACATCCATCCATTAAAAGGGGAATGCCTTTTTAGTAAAGTAGATATAGGTAAAAGCATGGCTCCATGGCTTTATTAGGAGCTTACGAATCATTGTCTGTAACATCCGTGAACTCATTCGGTGCGTATCTACAAAGCTACTCAATGTGTAATTTGTTAGGCCACCAACGTGTCAAGTGAAAAATAAGATGACTTTGAAACTCCTAAAGTCTGGTTTCGTGAGTCAAGCATACATTATCACATCAGTCCATGAGGACATCTAAGCATTTTCTCTGCGAGGGAAAATTATTTAACACTCCATCTCCAACAGTATCGCATATTATTCGTATACTTCCCTAAACATCGCTATATGGGACCCACATCCAAAATGCCTCCTATGCGAGATGGACATCCCATCGACTCGTAATCTCTATTATAGAATTGGAGGGAAACAGAAGCCTAATCAGTTGCTCAAAGGTCCAGGGAGGGGTTATTGGAAATCTCCAGTGGAGGACATGTGATGGTGCCATCCGTCAAGGTCGAAGAGGCATGCTTTGATGATTTGCCTCGACTATGGTCATGTTTCTGTTGAGCTAGTAAGTTCCAGAGAGTATTTCAAACTAAATAGAACTAACTAGTATATATAGTAATCAAGGAGTCAGATACTAGGTATCGTTTAACGGGTATTGCAATGTTAAAAGATTGGCATGGCCCCCCTTATCTTCCGAAAGACCCAACGATCACGAGAATCGGTGGAAAGGCAAATCCCCAATACGATAAGCATATCTTCACTGAATTCTATGCGGCGAAGATGACAAGACGGCCATCCCACTATAAAGGGCGGCTACTTGGGTTTATCATTCATGCTCATTGTTGGGTGCTTCTTGGCCGAGTTCTGGGAACGAACCAACTGAGATTAACCTCGCGAAATTTATCAAATCTTCCCAAAAAACACTGGCGCAAGGAAGAATTGCAAGCCTTGGTAGATCACAATATCGACTGGGTCAAGCCGAAGCTGGCCTTAACAGAGCGTAAATACGCCTGTGATATTTATCAGAATCCATTAGCCACACCACCAGCACTTCAAAAAGTGATTGCCCGCGCAGGCAAAAAGAAAAAGAAAAAAATACCCTCGTTTCAGCAAGCTTCCGATAGAAATTACTGTCCTGATATCTGAGTGGGTCTGCCCGACTGACTACACCTTGGATGATGTTGAAAACATGCGCAATATGCTTTTCGCATTTCAGTGGATGCTACCCGATTGGTTTTGGCGAAGGCGGCTACAGGAAGTCTAACTCTCCGGTGAATTGGCAGATGTTACGACTTGATTTGATGGGTCTTCTCTCATATCGAAAACGGTATCCTACGAGTGCTCTGGCAGATCACGAACGCATATTCAGAAATGTGGTTGCTATCAGGAGGGGTTTGGGAATAAGTTATGACAAGGGAGCTTTGCTTTTACAAGAATTGCTCTTATAGCAATTCTCTGAATCGATTTATTCAACAATGTTCTCGAAGGGATCTATCTGTACCTCCCTTACATGTTTCTACTGGGTGACCTAATTCCATGCTTCTATGTCCTGCCATTTGATTCCGAGCTTCAAAGGTGTAGAGTGGGCTTAATAGAACCATCTATAGAGGACTGTTTTGATCATCGTCTTGGGTTCAGTTCTATTAACAGACATGAACCTTGAGACTTGACCTTGTCTACCCTTTTTCTCTCCCGCAATCAGTGTGTTGTATCGTTCTCTGCATTATCGTAATACCGTTTATAGATTCTAGGGAATAGAATCTAGATCCCTATTTCCGTCCAGGTTTAACATCTACTGTAGGGAGGATGTACATACTTCGAACTTAGGTAGAAGTGACATCCTCTTTGGGTGTACCAAATGTGCAGGAAGTCGGTCGAAGTGCATTGCTTGTCCCTTACCTAAAACACCTAGGTGCCTACATAGTACATATGTAGCCATCAAAAAGGCGGCCCGGGACAACTGAAGAACTGCATAGGTCCGCCTCCATAGATCGATTCGCCTATGAGACGTGGCCGAATTGGGAAGGAGCCTCAGGGTAAGGGCTGTAGGGCTGACAGGATAGTTCGCCTCATCCCAGCATCTAGCCTCCCTCTCTTTCATTTCTTTTCATTTTTTCTCCTCTCCCCGTCTTGATGTCTTCATACGAATGCATTTCTACTCGGTTTTCTTTCTTTTCCTCGTAAGACTTGACATGCCACACAGCTTCCTTTCTTTTATTCGCATGTGGCTATTCCCGGTTAAGATATATTCAAATATAGATTATCTGTAGGCAGTAATAGGTGCCTAAGGAGAGACTGATGGATCAGAAGTTCCGGTAGAGGGGACGGGATGTGACGATTGAGTGTAGGACTTGAGGACATGGAGCTGTGGAGGAACAGGAAGAGCATTAAGTGATACTTCGATTGTTTGTGTGGAGAACACCACCATGTATTTAGGATCTGGTTCACTTGCCTCAGAATTGAAGAAATCCCAACTCTGCGTTGCTGGGCTATGACAAGGTACTCACCAGGCAATGTCGGACAACGCCGAACCTCTCAATCGTCGGACCGAGATCTATTTAGCCTGTGCGAATTCAATGGATGAAGAAAGGTCATACACCGAGAATGAAATGAATTCCTTATTTTAAGATTCGACAAAGGCTTGAATCGAAAGTAACGCCAGCGCTGCTATAGTCCTCCAAGCGAATTGTGTCGAGGCAGGTCTATATTCTGAAAAACTGGCGTAAACCTAGAAAATGCAAAGCCAATCGCAAATCACATGCGCTGTGAACATCAAGTATATGTGCAAGTAAGAGGGGATTTGTACAAAAAAGGAGAAGAAGGGAAAAGGCCGAGGAACACCAGAAGCAACCTATGCTTTACCAGTTGCGGTTCCAGCCCAACAGTCATGGAGACTCCAAGCCCCGGCGCAGAAGCTGATAAGGCCGACCAGGCTATCGGGAATACCAATGCCTTTCTCGACACACCAGTGCAAACACAAGGGTGCCCAGATGACGTTGTTCACCATGCTCTTTCGCCAAGCCCGGATCTCCAAACGCAACACCTCGCTATCTTCTGCCTTGGTCTCTTTAGTTTCGACCGTGCCAGCAGCCGATCGCTGTGCGGCTAACCGCTGTCTGCGCAGCACACTCTGGCGCCAGAGCACGAAGAATTGGAAGAAGATGTGCCCAAACCATCCACGAGTACTCCAGATATCCCATTTCTCAACGCCTCCATATTTGTCCACGAACCGCTTCGAGACAACCCCCTTAGAAGCAAGGTAGCCCACGTTCTCGAGAAGCTGGTAGATCACATTCGAAATGACCTGCAGCACAGTCAGGGCGTGGAGGATGGGGTCAGCTGGCGGCGACTTGAGTGTTTCAGCCCCCCAGATCCACAAAGGGAGCAGCCCAAACAGGCGCAAGTTGTATCTCGTCTCCGATGCGAGGGAGCAAAGGGCTGCGAATTTTGATTTTGACGACGCGGGAGTGACGTTATTGGTGGGTACACGACCCTTTAGTCGTGCAAGGATACCCAGCCTTGTTTGCAATGCTATCCAGGGCGCTGTTGCAGTGAGGTGATGGAGCATTGAGGCGACATAGTTGACAGTCGCTAGTACCCGCTCTTGTCCGTCTGCCTCGGAGAGTAGTCTGTGGTAGCGGTCAGCGATATTCTTGATCCGTGTCACGTCCCAGCAGTCGCTGTGCCATATCAAGATCGAAAGTGGCCTTACAGATCTAGTCGGCGGATTGTTACATCGGTTGTTGTCAAGGCGGCCAGCAGTTGTCGCTTCGCGCATGAGCTCCCGGCGGGTGCTTTCCCCGCCTGGACGTCAGTCGCCTCGCCTGAGGAATGTTCAGTATCGGACATTGTGTATGATAAACATGAGAAGGAGAGAAATAAAATGAAGTTGGGTGGACAGGAGCGGAACCGAGGCTCGGAACTTTAGGAAGTTCGATCTAATCTCCGAGGGTTATCCAGCATGTAAGTCATCGCCTGACAACCTGGGCTTGGAATAGCTGCTATACTTGACTCAAATTCGTATGATTATTGTGTTTTTTTTTTCCCTCGTAATTATCTCCGTTTAATAGATTATGCAGTACGCTATATAAATACATCGACAAGCCTTGCAAACGAATCACTACCGCCCTCTATCGAACAGTGATATCTTCATCTACATGTGGAGTTCCTATATGTAATTTAATATCGTTCACATCATTTAAGAATTTCTACTTTTTATTACGTTTACTTGGAATCACGCTTGGAAATTCTTCATTAGGGAAAGGCCCCTAACTCTCACATGTGGAAATCCGAGTTCGACCCTCTCACATGCCGCTCCCCCCCCGCTCACCTCCACCTGACTGCGGCCTTACCTCCGCCTCACCTCACCT